CACTTCACCCTCGGAGCCGCAGCCTCGGGTTGCTGCCGTGAAGGGGCCCCTGGACCCCGCGGTTTTATTGTGGCGTCTAGCGCACCGCCCGCCGCCCGTCAGTGCTCCGTCCCGAACCAGCGGTTGATCTTGGCCACGCTGAGGTGCAGCACCAGGCTGACGAGGAAGTGCTCCTGCGTCTCCTCGATCCACACCAGCTCCGCCTGCACGCGCCCGTCCTCCTCCGCGTAGTCCACGCCCAGCGTCTGGCCCAGGAAGTGCGGCCCGTCGGGGGGCGAGGGGCGCGGCCGCAAGCACACCGGGGAGCTCACGCACCAGAAGGGCTTCCCGCACTCGTCCAGCAGGGTCACGTCCATGATGAAGCAGCTCTAGACACAAGCGGACACGGGAGCGTGAGCGTAGCCCGAGGCCTGGCCTCCGTCTGGAGGCCGGAGCCCCTGTGAGGGCAGCGCCGTCCAGGAGGCCCGAGGTTCAGGGAGGGGGACGCGGGGGGCCACACGGCAGACAGGCAGGCGGCTGGGCAGGTCACACGGCCCGCTGCAGGGGTGCGACCCCGCCCGGCGGGTCAGGTCAGCGCTGCCCCTGCCACCCCGTGGTGACCAGCACCGTGGCGGTTGCAGGGTGGCTGCCGGAGAGGGCCAAAGCCCTGTGCTGCGCCTCGTCATGCCCGGTGCGAGGGGGAAGACGTTGCCCAGGACAAAGCGCACAGCCCTGGCCTCTGGGCGAGAGGTCAGGGGGTGGGGGGCTGACCCTGGGTGCCCCTGCAGGAGAGCTGAGCGAAGCCTGTCAGCTTGACAAGGGGGGGAGTGGGGAGGAGACAGCTGGAGATTCTGATGTTTTAATGATTCCACCTTTTTCACTGTGGTGACGAGCGAGCGTGGGGCTGCCCCTCGGCCACCTCCTGGGGCCACGGCCCCCAGACTATGCTGCCGCCACCCTCCGCCACTCACAGCCCCACACTCCCGAGTGTCCGGTGGGGGCAGCATGTTGCCGACACTCTCAGGGCCCAGCGAGCCTCACTTGACTCGGAAAGTCAGGACACACTACCACCGGCTGACAGCGGTCAGCGTCAGAACTTACCCGCCCAGGGCAGGGCCAGCCTGGCTCTTGCCGCCCCCACAGGCCTCTGGAGAAGAAACGCTGGGCCAGAGTCTCCGAGGCCTCAGAAACCACAGTGGTCACTCAGGGATGTTTAAAGCGCGCCACACACACGCATCAGCAGAGGCTCTTCATGGTACGAGGCCCGGGGCACTTAGAGAAAAGCAGCAATTACCTTCACACAGCCCTCAAAAGCGTCCGTCTTCCAAGAGAGGCCGACTTTCCCAATCAGGGGAAGGTGTTCTGTGTTATTTTTGAAACTGATGACAACGAGCTTCGCGTATCCATTTTCAATGTATCCTGAAAAGACCAGAGAGCTTTTCAGTGACCATTTCCCAGGGCAGAGGCCGTGGCCACCACTCCGGGCGGCAGCGCAGGCTCAGCGCCAGGCCAGCAGCCACCGCACTCCAGGACAGCAGAGGGGTGTGTCGCCACAGGTGAGTGCTCACAGGGGGGCGGGACAGCCTGCCCCCACCCTGGGGAGACGGCCAGAAGGCCCCGGGTCCTGACTCCACTACGACAGCCAGGAAAGTGGCAGAGCAGACGAGGCCCCGAGAAGGCGGAGCCCGGGAGCACCCGTGAGGACGCGAAAGGAGGGGACAAGCCCAGAGCGGGGTCCGTGGGCTGAGCCGAGCGGTGGGAGGTCAGACATGGACACCACAGGCGCCCTCGCGTCAAGTCCATCAACCCCTGCACGTGCTCGCCACACCCCTGCCCCTCCCACAGCCAGCGCTGGTGGCCCCAGACCAGGCCCGGGGGGATAGCCCATGGAGCCGCCTCAAGCCCACGGTCAGTAAACAGTCTGGAAAGTCACGTCCTGCTTCGCGACACGGCCACACTCTGGGGAGGTTTCTCCCGAGACACAGCATGCAGGTAAGGCGGAAATCCAGGGCAAGCCGTGGGGAAAGAGCAAACGCTCTTGCACCCAGCCTGGCCACTTCACAAAGCGAGGTACCTACATGGAGCGACGTTAGCTTGGGCGCCCAAGCCTCACTCTGGAAGCCCCAGAGCAGCCAAGGTCCAAGCAGTCGCCCCGCGGCAACCTCCTCTGCAGCAGCCTCCTCTGCAGCCGCCTCGGGCAGAAGGGCCTGCGGGGGGCGCTGTCAGCTGGGCCACCCAGGGACGGATCTCTGGGATTCGCCAGAAGATACAGTGAAGAAAGCGGTAAGCAGCAGACAGACAGAAAGCATGCTTGCAGACATTACCTGAGCAAGGACCAGTATCCAGAATACAGAGGACTCCAACAATTCAGGGAGAAGAGGAGCTCATTAAGATGAGTCAAACGGATTAAGAGACACCTCCAAAGTTGTGTAAATAGCTAATAAGCACATAAAAAAAGTGCTTTACATTACTGGCCTTAGGGAGCAAATCAGAGCCTCGAGTAAACACCACCGCCCAGGAAGGGCCACCCAGGGAAGCCTGGCAGGTTTTGATGAACTAACCACCTACTGCCCCAGCGATTTAGTCTTTTAGTCCCACATATTTGGGGGGAGGGGGCGGAGGGATGGAGCAAAAGGCCACGGAGACTTCTCTAGGCCTCTGCAGCGCCTCGCGGTGACAGCTTAAGCAGACACACCTGGCACTTCCCCTCCAATGGGCGCTGGGCAGTGACAGCAGGGCACTGGCCAGCAGGCAGTGGCTCAGCCTCCGACACGGCCCTGCAGGGAGGCCACCCACCGCAGGACGTCAGCCCAACGCCAGGATCTGGACACAGGAGACACAGTGGAGGGACCCGGAAAGCAGGGCAGGGTCCTGCTGAGTGGAGGCTCCAGAAGAAGCAACTCATGGGCGGTGACAGGAGCCGGACAGGGGTGCGCGGAGGCTGGCCCGGGCCCCCGGCCCCTCCGTGTGGAAGCTGTGCCGGAGAGAAGGTGGCGGGCACAGCAGCAGAAGGGTCTGTGGGGCTGCCTCCACTCACCCCCCGGGGAGTCTGGCCCCTCAGGCCGGACATCCGCCCTCCCCGCACACCGGCCTCCCCGAGCCCGCAGCTTGATGAGCCTGACCCATCTCTGCACCGCAGCTGTCTCCCCGAATGGCCTCGTCTCTGGGCTAAAGGGCGCGTCTTCCATGGCGCATCAAGCGCGCTGCTACTGACACCTGCATCTCTCGGCTATGAACCGAGGTCACTTTTTGCCTCATAAATAGAACAAGGAGAAGATGGAAAGTAAAGAATGTGGGGGTGGAGGCCGACGGACCGGCGGGATGAGGGCCCTGGGCCAGCAGGATGTGCAGGAAAGGGGCTGCGTTAGGCCCAGAGGGCCGGGCTGAATGCGCGGGTTACGGCATCCGGGAAGGTGAGCTCCGTGACGTGCACAGGAAGCCGCCTCTGGGGGCAGCTGTGGGTGAGTCTGGGCGAGGAGGGCAGGAGGCCCAGAAACTCAGAAACCTTTGCTGCAGAGTATGCGTCCTGTCAGCAGCTGTTCGTGAGGCTGACTGCTCATGGCAGGCCACAGGATGCACAAAGCAGCAGGACAGAATTCCTAACAGCCACTGAAGAAGACGCGGTGAAGAAGTCTGGTTCTCATAATCCCAGTAACCACCGCCCGGAAAGGCCACGCTCTACCTAATGGCTTCCTGGCAGGGGAGAGCACAGAGAGGGCCAGCTGGCCTAGAAACGGAGGAACAATCAGCAGCAAGCTACAGGGAGGAGAAATATGTCACTACTCTTGGAGTCAGAGTAGAGGAGAGAAAGCTGGAAATGGCCCTGCAAGGTGCCCATATCTGGGCTGGGTACAAGTGACCTGCAGTCACCACCCGGCAGCTTCCAGGCCCGTCGGCCCGGCAGCCCAGAGCCCTCCCCATGAACTAGTCAGAGTCTCCAGCCCCTCCGGGCCGCTCTTCCTGGAAGCCCTCGAACAGGCCCAACGCAGGAGCCAGCCTGGCGTGCCCACCCCACCTGCGACTCCCTGCCCTCGGCAGCAAGCGGCCAGCACTGCTGGCCACAAGCAGCCTGTTGAGCCGCCTCATCCCGGCCGTGGTGACGCCACGCTGTGGCCTGAGCGGAAGACAGTGTTCGCAAACACAGGGGAACGCTGTCACTCCCAACCCCAGTGACATGGCTGGGCTTGGCTAAATATAGCACGCGCTGCCACCAGACTCCTGGAGAACGCCCTCGCGCGGAGAGAGCCTGGGACTGAGGGGCTCCGGCTGGCAACAGCGCCCTCTGCTGCCGCGCAGGCACGACCAGACAGAATCCCTGACTCTTGACTTGTGCGTTCTCCTGGGGACCCAGCAGGGGCGACGCGGGCGCCCCCCTCGCCGCCTCCCTGACCTGGCCGCTGGCCGGCTGCAGCAGGCGCCCTCGCCGCTCTGGCGCTAGTATGGGAAGGGCTAAGTGGCTGCTTCGGCACGCGGCACAGCCCCGGAGCCACTCCCTGTGCAACAGTCCGGCTCGGCCCTGGGGCGGCGGGCCTGGCGAGGGGGGCCGCCCCAACCCCAGAGAAGTGACTTCCGGCCCAGCGCCCCCACCGCGCAGGAGGTTAAATACGAAACCTTCTGCGGACGCCACGTTCCCTGCCGCTGCCGCCCGTCCCCACCACTCGGGGAGGCGCTCGACAAGCGGGGCCGGCGACGTGCCACGCGTGCACGAGCCGAGGGGGCGCCCTGAAGTGCTGACGCTCCGGAGACAGACCCAGACCCGGCCGGGCGGGCACAGGGCTCGGGCGCTGGGGGGGCTGCGGGTGGCTCACAGGGAAGCGGCCGCTCGAGGAGCAACCGCAGCCCGCGGCTGAGCCCAGGGCTGGAGCACGCGCGAGCCAGGTCTCCGCTGGCGGCTCACGCCCGGGCCTGGCTGGGGCCGCCCGGCAGCAGCCGCAAGCCACACTGGGTGGGAGGGAGTGAGGCTCGGGTTTCTGCCCTAACTGGCAGCGCCAAGGGGTGAGCTGGAGGGCCGAGGGGCAAAGGCGGCTGTGAGCGAGCGAGGCAGGACGCCCCCCGCGACCGGCTGGCTGAGACCCAGAGGGCTTCTCGGTCACCTTCCCGGCCCTTCCCCATTCTCCAGCCAAAATCTGGGGCACAGCACAGAGAGCACAGAAGAAAAACCCCAAAATGAAACAATCGAAGCAGTCAGATCAAAGAGGCTAGAAACTGGGTTTAAAAAAATTAACCTCAGGAAAACGGATGCTTTTCCAGAAAGTCATTTAAATTCTAAAACTGGTTTGATGGAAAGTAGAAAACTGGATGAAAACTGGATCAGAAATGAAGAAAGAATGCAGAGTACAGCCTGAGCATAACAGGAAAAACACTAAACCCAAGTAACTGAGACCAGTGGCTTCATCCGGTAAGATCGGACGAAAAGAGGCGCCTGCCCGAGGCGCCCGCAGAGGGACGCAGCGCGGGGTGCAGTGAGGCCTGCTGCCCCCACGGCGCAGACAAGGAAAGGCCCCATCAGAGGGCCCCAGAGATCCGCCTGGTGGCACCTCACAGACGCCCCCAGGTTTCTGAAGATCCAGCCAACCTCGGACAGACACTTCCGTGACCTGTAAGGTCACGAACCAGATGCCCGGGAGAAGCAGACCTGGGGACCGACATCTGGTCACGAATGTCCCATCAAGCCGGAAATGCACGCCACCCTGAAGGGGTCCTCATAACGTGCTGTCCCTCTGACCGGACCCTACTTCTCAGAAAGCTCCCAGAGACCGGCCGGCAAATCTGAAACGAGGTGCACCCCCGGCAGAGGGCCGGGAGAGCCGCCAGCAGGCGCCCACTGGGCGCAGGAAGCTGCAAATGTTCCTGTCTTGGGATAGAGCGATCCCCGCGCATAATCAGTAATCACGACAAGTAAGATGCTGAACAGTGAGTCCGGGAGAACCAAAAAGACAGAGAAACGTGACTCGGCCGACGTGCAGCACGCTCCAGTCAGAGACGCCTCAGCAGCAGGCCAGAGGCGGCACAGAGGGCCGCGTCGCGCGAGGGAGGCAGGGCGCAGGGCCAGGGAGCAAGGGGACCTCTCCCAGCTGCTCGCTCCCGAGTTCCACGGCCAGAGCTGTGTTCATGTGGCGGCTTGTCTGAACGTACAGAAAAGCTGAGAAATCCTGAAAAATAAGAAATCGACCGCAGCGAGCCCCTGTGGTGTGCAGCGCCGCTCAGCCGCCAGGGCACAGCGACCCCGGGCCGCGCCGCACAGCAACCGTGCTGTGCCGATCCCTAAACGCGTCCCGCCGGGCCCTGGTGCTACATACCGAGTGTCTTCCTTCGGTCTCCAGCACACTGGATCTGGAGGGAGCACCCGATGGAGAAGTGACAGAACCAGGCCACCACCTGGGCAGGTGTCGAGTAGGGGACACAGGCCGGCACCCAGCAACCGGCTAGCTGTTGGGTGGCGCGTCACAGAGAAATGGGTGTGCGACCGCAGGAGCAGGCTGCCAGGCCCCAAGCCCACCGATCTATCTTAAGCAGACACTGCCTGCAGACGTTCTGTCCGGCGAGGTAAGCAGGACGCCAGGGCGCTCGCTTTCCTGCCAGGACACCAAAGCTAAGTCTGACCAAGCTCCGGGTGTGCTCCCCAGGGCAGGCAGGGCCACGCCAGAAGCAGCCCGTCACGGTGCAGAAGCTGGTGCAGACAAAGGGCGCATTCGGTTTCTTCAATCAACGCGCAGCGAGAGAAGAGGAGCGAGCTGCCACCACGGGCCCAAGACACAGACCGCCAGCTGCGAAGACGCCACCGGCTTTGGGGAAAGCTAGACCGCGTCGGCACGAGAAGCCGGAGTGCCGTACTCACATCGACGCGCTGTGCTTCAAGCAGACCGTGCCGCCCGACAAGGGCGCTTCTGGAATCGGGCCGGTGCCGGAAATCGAGGGGAGCCGGCAGACTTCAAAGTGCCCGAACGCAGTAATGGGCGTCAGAGCTCACGCCGCAAACACTGACAGACATCGAAGAAAAATGCGTAAGTCTGCAGTCACGGAATTTCACTCTCCCTTCTCTGTAACTGATAAAATAAGTAGGCAGAAAATCACCGAGCCCGTGGTATCCACCACCGTTCTCAATGCCCGCACCGCCTCTCTGGGGACTCCCCCTTCGACAGAAGGGACATGTTTGTGGAGAGGGCTGGGAATGAGAGCCAAGTAGGCGCCATCTGAGACATAAGACAACTCTCCATGCACCTAGAAGAATTCAGGTCAAGCAAAGCAAACTCTTACGAACAAGCCTAACAAGAAACGTGAAACTAATGTGAAGAAAATCCTTCACCATCCCTAAACCATGAAAGTATTAACACATGGAAAGAGGGCCAACCTTCTGGGGCAGAACAGTTCAAGAATAAAAAAATGTCAATTCTCCCAGGTTACTATGTGCATGTGATACCATTTTAACAAAGGCGCCACCAAGCTCACAGACACCGAGAGGTCTCCTGCGCCAAACTGCACAGGCGCAGAGGCTGAGGCGGCACGAGCCAACCTGCAGCAGCCCCGGGCCGGCACGGGGATCTCAGCTTCATTAAGAATCAAAGCCCCAGGGCCCTCCCTGGTGGCACAATGGGTTAAAGCGCCGCATTGTGAAACTCTCGGAAGCCACTGCAGCACCAGTTCGATCCCCGGGCAGGGAGCTGACCCACAGGGCGCGGCAGACCCCTCCTGACCTACCCGCTGCTCCCCTCAGCAGTGTACTTCATCGATCTGCCTGTTCTGCTCCCCGCTCTGTCTCTGGTGAACCCTCTC